TATGTACAAAACAGGGGCCTATTTTTCCGGTATAAAACAATCCTAGGGCGTGGGCGCATTATAATTCCGATTTACCCTTTTTTTGGACCACCCTAATACAGACATATATGAGCATATGTATGTATGTATGTATTCAAGAAGGTAAACTTTCACTTGGCTGCTTGCTGCACGCTGCTACGAAGTTTGCTAGCAAAGGCGTAAAATTGCTGGCTGTTACAATTTCCACATCCAATGCAGTTTCTTATTTGACTTTTAGCTATTCCAACATTTCTTGGTTGAATGGCAGGACTTTTCAGCAGCAGCAGCAAATGCACATCCTGCACTTGAAATATAAGTGAGTGTATGAGTGGGTGTGGTAGATAGCATAACTATATCTAGTTGATGTTTTTCGAAGCCGAGCGCTTGCCGTTGATATATGTACCCGTATGTATGTAGTACAGCGAGCGAGTAGGTACTTGCGCTTGCAAAGTGCTTGGGTGCAGAAGCTGCTTCGCACGTAACTATTTATGCTTGGGTGTACATCCCGCTAGCTCAAATTCTAGCAAAAGGAAAACGGAAGCGCTTCGTAAAGCTTCATGCTTTATGCACGCGTTGGCATGTGAAAAGAACGTTGCCACGTACTTATACGCCACGTAAAAGGAGCAGCAGGGAAGGCAGTGAGTAAACGCGCGCACACACACACACACACACACACTGTTGAGAGTGCTCTACACACTAATGTGTATATAAACGTAGTGTCCTGTCCTTCGACGGCAATAAAATTTTTCATCTTTGCTTTTTTATTTGCTTACAAATATGTAAGTGTCTACATACAACTCTGTGCTAATGCAAATAAATGCGTTCTTTTTGTACAACTCCTACGAATATATGTATATGTATACAGTGACTAAAACAAATAACCACGTGTTGATTTTTTTTTAATATTCGTATTGTTTTTCGAGTTAAATTTTTTTTTTTGTTATTTTTCTAAATATAAAAATACCACTCAAACTTTAACCAAAACCACATAAATCGTATACACTTATACAAAATTTATTAAGATTCAACAAATTTTCATCGAAATTTCAACTTTTTAATCTGAATCTTTAGAACATTTTTGGGTATGCAGTTTTATAGCCCATACAATTTTAGTCTAATGAAGTTCAAGTTTCAAACGCCTAAAAAATTCCGTTAATTTTTGAGTTTTTGTTTTTGGTGACGGATTTTTGACCTTTTTTCCCAATACATAAGCATGAATTTCTTCAGTTTTTGTAATTTGCTATAGCTATATGAAAAAAATTGAAAAAGTAGTCTCCAAAAAAAAAACAAAATTCTAAAAAGTTAACGGGATCTTTCAGCCGATTGAAACTTACACTTTGTTAGACTAGAATTGTTTGGGCTATAAAACTGCATACCCAAAAATTTTCTTAAGGTTCAGATTAAAAAGTTGAAATTTTGATGAAAATTCGTTGCATTTTCCTAAATTTTGTGTAAAGTGTGAAACTGTGATTTATAGGGTTTTGGTTAAAACTTGGACGGTATTTTTATAAAATACAAAAAAATAGCACGAGGAACATTACGAAGACTTAAAAAAATCAACATGTGGCCATTTGTTTGACTCACTGTATATATATTTGTGCATATGTATGTGTATAGATATTCTTATACTACAAGTATACAGTTTAAGTGTTTGATGATTTTGTATAAATTGCTCAGAAAATATAAATTTCATATATCTACATGGGTCCAATATTTATATATATTATGTTAGGGTAATCCTTATTTGGTATGTTATAGATGCACCTGAACCGTATTTGTATTTGTGGTACTTAAAATTTTGTATTACTGATCGATAGTACATGTATTTTACTTATAAATCTTTCTCTTGATACCAAATATTATTATCCATTTAGTAAGAAATATAAAAAGAGAGATGTTATTTATAAATTTATACAAGCTTAGGTCAAATTAGGTATAAATGGCTAGAGAAAAGATCACTTAACTGACAAAAACATACCTAGTCTGTTATAAGAAATTATGCTTCTTATCTCATTAAAATAAGTAAGAGCGTTTCTCTTTGGAAGACAAGGTAATCTTGGTGGTGTCACAGTACGAAAGGTTCTTTCAGCGTTCATTGGCCACTTGAGCCGTGTGTTATATCGTACGTAAATCTATTAAAAGGTGGCCATTGTTGTACCCTACCATGGCACGACAGCTTGATTGTCGAAAATTAGAGAGTTGGTTCCTCAGAGGCATCCTGGATGGCTAACATTTTAGTGAGCCTTAAATATGTTTCTAGTCTGATTTCAAGAAAGAAAACTCCTCTTTTGAATCTTTCTTCAAGATAGAAAGCCATCTGTATAAACGTATAGGACATCAGACTAATGGTGAGGTCGCTGAAACAGTCCAATTACTTTGAGATTATAACTTTGGGCTCACAATTTCTTTTATCAAAAGTGATTGTGGATATAAAATAGTTGGGTATCGTAATTGACTACTATATTTAACTACTACTAAAATTTTTCTAGTAAATTTTTTGTTAGTTTCTGCCACTTTCACAGAAGTGTTTTGCTTTCGCTTTACTAGTAAATTTGCTGGCGTAACGAGTTCAGGTAGTTGAGCTGAAATAACTAGAGGTGAGTTGAAATGAGTTGAGTTGATAGGAGAGGAGGTGGGTTGAGGTTAGTTGAGTTGAGTTTAGGTGAAATTTTGTGTTTTGAGTTTGCCGATCTGCTAAAAAATAAAACTCAAAAATTAAAGTTTATTTCTGAGAGAAAAATTAATTCTCAGGAAATCAGTTTTATTTAAAAAAAAAAAAAAATATAAAAATCGTAATTTCGACGAAAAAGATAAAACTAAAAAATAATGTTTATTTCTGATCAAAAAATAAAAAATAAAACTTATAAAATCAGAGACCCAGAATAATAATTATTTCATGATGGAGTTTTAAAAAAGTTATCCAAATTTTCGTGAGAATTATATCTTTTCATAATAATTATCAGCGGGATAAATATTTTTAAGTCTTTAAAGACTTTTTTTGAGACTTATATTATAAAAGTTTTTTGATAATAATTGTGAGTGCGAAAAAATTTTGTGTATAGCCCCGAACGGGTCCCAAACCAAGCAGCAACTGGTCCCAAACTAATCCACAACTAGGCCCGAACTGGTCCTCAACTAATCCCGAAATGGTCTTGAACAAGTCCCGCCTTAAAGGCTTAAAACATTTTTTCGCGCTCATAATTATTATGAAAATACTTTTATAATATAAGTCTTAAAATAAAAGTCTTTGAAGACTTAAAAATATTTATCTCAATGATAATTATTATGAAAAAAACTTTTATAATATAAATTTTAAAATAAAAGTCTTTGAAGACTTACAAATATTTATCTCCTTGAAGATTATTATGAAAGAAATTTTATAATATAAATCCTTGAATAATATTTATAGATGACTCGAAAAATATTTATCTTAATATAATGATTATTGATTGACTTTTATTCTTATCTATTATAATAGTTATATCTCTGCATAAAATAATGATTATTGTTGATTAAAATAATAACAGTTGACAAAATAATCAGTATTTTAGAGAGAAGAAGTGTCACTCGAAAAACTAGTTTTAATTTTTGATAAAGAAAATATATTTCGATATATGATTGTGTTCTCTTAGCGATGCAAAAAACTCATAGTGATTCGGTACTTGGATTAACAGAATGCGCCAGTGCGAAGCCAGCCGACACAGCCTAATGAAAAAAAGGTGCGGAAAACTTTCCTAAGTAAATTTTATTTAGGTGGTGTTTTGAAGTAGTTTATTGTAAGTTTTTTCACTTGTGAGAGACTGTTTTACATCAAGTTTTTGGTTGTCCTTACAATTAGCAACATCTTGGAGATATTTTAAAATTTGTAACTTATCTCATCGCTAATAATTTCGAATGTAAATGTGTTAATCTTCAGCAATTACTCGTGATACCTGTAGATGCTTTTAAAAAATTCTGTGCAGTGATTTGGCTCCCCTCCGTAGAGATATAAATTCGGCAACACCCTAAAGTTTGCTAACATATGTACATTAGGGCGTGCCATTTTTTTTACTTTGCGCTTATAGCATGGGAATATTCTACGTGTAATTCTAAGCAAATTTGCCGAAGAAGCTATGATTCTAAAAACAATTTGGAGTTTGCCAAATTGCAAAAAATAGGTGTAAAAGAACATGTGAAAATGTTCACTGTTGCGCTCTATGGTAGAAGTTTTAAGGAAAAGATAAGTTCAGAAATGGATTCCTCTTACCAAAAAAAACCCTTATAGCATGTTTTTATACAAAATTTAAGCACCTCTTTAAGACACTACAGCTGATAAGAAACCTATTTTCGCACTTTGGCAAACTCCAAATTGATTTTAGGCCCATGGTTGCTCTGGAAAATTTGCTTATAGAATTACAAGCAGAATTCTTCTTTGCCATACGCGCATAGTCGAAAAAATCTCCCACACAAATTGACCCGCCCTAATGTACATACCTGTAAATATATGAATACATGCTCAGACGTTTACTTAACTTCGTTGTGGCGCTTGATTTCATCAGCCTTCCTCAGCTCTTACAACGTATAAAAACTTTGTCTACAACTTTTCTTGCATCCCATCTTGATTTCAACATAAATTCGATTTGTATAACTTTCAAGTGTTTTGATTTGAGTGATTGCTAACCAGTTGTGTTTATTTGTTTATACATATATATGTATACATGCATGCGTGAGACCAACTTGTGGTCAAGGTAAAAGATATAATCCAATTTTTGAGTGAATAAACAAATCATTGCTTGTGATTCTTTTTTCTCGCTGATACTAAGTAAATGTTTCTGGCTTTTTTCAAGGTTATCTTACTATACTAAGTATAATATCGATATATATCTAATTAAAATAAAATGATTCTTAAATAAAAAATGTAAAAGGGCAATACCATCAACACTTCCTCAATTGCTTCGCTAAAATTCACGCAATAGGAACGTCAAACATACTTCCAATACCAATCATTTAATTGTCGGCGAAGCTGTCATCAATGCTGCCACATCGCCACAACAGTCACTGTCCAAATCCACCGCGATTTCGCCATTGCCAAGCAGCTCCAACGACGTCGCTACAACATCCTCCGCCGCCGCCGCCGTCACCGCCGCCACGGCAAAGGGCGCATGTACATCCGGATCGTGCGGAAAAAGCGCACGCAAATCGGCCACCGGCGTACACAAACACAACTCGGACATTCGCTTGTATTTAGGCGTATCCTTGAGGGCGTGCCGCCGATTACGTACCAGTGGCGCAGAGATGTGCGAGAAGCGCGGCGTCGGTAGGCGCACACGAAAACCACAATTAGCCATATACGAGTAGAGTTTGGTGTTGTTGTAGACGAGCGATGGTGGCGGATGCCAAGTCTTCAAGTATTCATGATAACTACGCATGCTCACGCCACTGAGGCTGGACATGCATGGCAAAGTGCCACCAATGTCATTGGCGGCTGTGGTGGATGGTGGTGTGGTTAGAGGTGATGCGGAAAATAGGCTGGGTACAATAATTGTTGTTGCTGCGCTGGTGGAGGCAGTGATTGGCGTCAAGCTTCTGATGACTGGAATTGTATTGATAAAGGATGTTGTTGCGGGTGAGCTGGAGTATGTTAGTGTTTTTGTTGTTGCCGCTTCCGCTGCTGTTGTTGCTGTTGTGGTTATATTGCCTGAGGTATCATCCATTTGGGAGCGTTGAATGAAAATAGCTTCTGTTTTGATTTTCAACTCATCAGGCAAGCTGTTGCCGTGCAAAGTGTCTGCATTTATGTTGCCTTCATCGGCAGTGCCAGCCGTTGTTTTTGTTTTTATGTAATTATGGTCTATTATTTTGGCGGGCGCTATACAGCGTGTAGGCGTTTCAGCTCTGGGTACTTCCAATTCGTGAAATATGAACGAGTAAATGCCATCGCGTCGCTCTAGTTCGTTCAGCATTAACTCATCGGTCGAAAGATTGATTTCGATGAAGTCTTTAGCGATAGCGGTCATCTAGTCAAAAGAAAGAGACGTTTGAGTAAACGTAAGTACTTAGGTATTGTTGTTATAGGAATGGAAAAATATTAAATAAGACAATATAAAGGGAACGCTATACGCTCATAGTCAAAACAATTTACGCGCTCTAATGTAAACACTCGTATACAAAATATTAAATTCATTTGCTTGTCAGGTAAAAAACTCGAAAACGGGCTAACCGATTTGAATTTTTTTTTATATTTTCGCTAAAAAACCAGGATGATTCGAAAATAAACCATTTTACAGAGATGCCACCAGTTTGAAAATTTCAACTTAAGGAAATTGATAAGATAGAGTAAACATCGTAACACGAATATTACAAGTAATTTTTAGCAAAAAAAAATATATGTAAAAAAGATATATATATATATATTATATATATATATATAAATTAAATGAAAATATATATATATCTCATGATCCACTGTTCGGATCTTAACCAGATTAGTATGGGACCACCTCAGAGACACTACCTTTCCGATGCAAAGAATTAATGAAATCGGTTGGCGTGGTCCAAAGTTATGCGGTAACATACATAAAAAAAATATTCCGACGAACTGATAACCTCCTCCTTTTTTGGAAGTCGGTTAAAAAGAGAGAGGTTTAAGAGGCCTTACAGCCAAAATTATTTTGCTGAAGCGTTGCCATCTGTTTGAGAAATTAAATTTAATTAATTAATTAATATTCTATTACGGGCATCAAACTGAAGTGTTTTAAGAAGGTTTTAAATTAAATATATTTTTGTGGAGGGTTGCCACCTGTTAGAAAAAAAAATTTAATATAATTTAATAAGATAAATGTAATATAACAATATGGGTATTTATTAAACAAAAGGGGTTTAAAAAAGTTTGCAGTCGAACATATTTTTGAGCCAGATTGCCACCTAATTAAAAAATAGACCTAATTTAATTCAATTGATAAGATTAATTAAATAGGAGAATATGGCTATACAACTAAACAGGTTTAAGAAAGTTTGCACTCGAAAATATTCTTCAGCCAGATTGCCACCTATTTGAAAATTTTTATCTAATTCAATTGATAAGATAAATTAAATATAAGAATATGTGTATCAAACTTAAGATGTTTAAGAAGGCTTACATCCGAAAAAATGTTTGAGGAGGGTTGCCACTTGTTTAACAACTTTTATTTAATTCAATTTATAAGATAAATTAAATATGGGTATCAAACAAAAGAGATTCAAGAAGGCTTAAAAATGTTTCAGGGTTGCCACCTATTTAAAAAGTTTATTTGCTTTAAATGATAAGATAAATTAAATACAGAAAAAAACAATATGGGTCCAAACTAAAGAGATATAAAAAGTTTGCTGTCGAAAATATTTTTGAGGCGAGTTGCCACCTATTTGAAAAATTTGTTAAATTGAACTGCTGAGATAAACCAAATATTTAAATATGGGTGTAAATGAAAGAAATTTGAGACATCTTTGATTAAGAAGTATTTTCAGCTTTCTGAATAGTAAAATTTAATATTTGTCGTTTTTTATAATTGTGCGCCAAAAATATTCAAAGGCAGTACATATTTGTATTTATCTTCCATTAAAAGCTGCAATCATACTTGACATTTGAAAAAATCTTAATAACTGCATCAGCGGTTTTCTGTTTGGTCAGCCTTGGCCTGAATTATGGCCTTCAAATTGGCAATGAAGGCAAACTCTGGACGAAAGAATGGTCTGTCTGCAAGTGGCTCTGCGGTATTTCGGCCAATTCTTGGAGAAGCGCTCGTTTGAGATGCTGACACTGTGGTACTTATTTTTTAAAAGTCAATTTACTTGCCAGAGAGGTCAGTTGAAAATTCGAACATACGAATAGCTACCAGAAAGCAAACGCCATTGCGAACACTACAAATCCTCCCCGCTTTAACAGTCTAAAATGCGATCTGGGATCCTGGGAAAAGAACATCCTCCCAGAGTAATTTTGTTGCATATTTGCATTAGCTGTGGTATTGTAAGCTGACCGCAATTGCTTGTTGGCGCAGTAAAATAGACATCAATCAATAAACCATCAAACCAATTTGCGCTATCAATTCTAACATTTAAATTCAGACACGCAAGTTTTTTTTTGCCACTATTACAATTGGCTTTATTTTGAGTTTATTGTTTCTCTTTCATTTTTTAATAAAACAAAAAAAAATTACATACACTTACAAACCGTTAGTTACAAGCACTCACATGTAATCCTTTAAAAGTCAAAATGATTTCCACTGAATATTGATTTTGATTTAAATTTATTTTTGATTTTTTTTTTTTGCCTGTAATAATCTCGTTCGAGCTCAATGCGTGGCCACAGCTGAAATGCTTCTAAATACAGCTGCACGCTCGTTCGGCATCACGCTGCCAAATACTTGCGCTACTCATATCAATTGTTTTTATTCATTTTCACCAGAATTTTGCAAATTTTTTTATGCGCTTTATTTTTTGTATGACAATTGCCTGTCTATTGTGTCATTGAGCATACTTTCCTGCGCGTGTATGTATGTAAATATAAACCAATGTTTACGAATTAAAAGTAAACAATAAAAGTTTATTGCATTACCGGTGAAAAGAGGCGAAAAACGAAATTCTAAAAAAATCTAAATAAATCGCCTTTCATTTGGCAAGCTCCTCACTTTTTGGAGATTTTTATTTGGCACTGTGTAAATACAATTTTTCGCTGATTGATGCGATTTGAAATGATTCCGGCCAGTTGTTTTTGTAATTTGGTCAGGCTAGCGAAAATTTGCCTTTATTTCAGGAAATGTGTTTGCTTTCAATCACGGATTGGCTACTGAAATGTGAAAAACTGCAACTGGCTCGCACGCGGATACCTGTTGCAGTGAGCGGCGTCGAGTGGGCAGTAAGTGGGTATTAGAAATTTGCTAGTGCGATATTCGGTAAAAATGGATGAATGCGCCCCGTATATCTGCTTCACACTTGACTTGGAATCGTAGACCAGAATTTTTGTATTACTTATTTAGTTATTTCAGTGTACGGAAAACTCAAGTCCAGTGAACTGTGAATTGCATTCATTCAGTAAATGGCTATGAAATGTTTGAAAATATGCGATTTTTAAAACTAAATATGTAATGGAATTGAATCTGTAAAAAACCGGGATGAACAGAGCCAAAACTCAAGCTATTCTGAGACCCTTAGAGGCTTTCTAAAGACGGTTTAGCTTTTATACTACCTTGTAGAAAGCTTATTGCGTAGTCTACTTCAAGCCAGAGTTGCTCCTTGGGACTGCACGGGGGAGAGGGCAATTACGTGACTGGCAAGGATAAGCTCGAAACTCGATGACGTACACAAAGTCAGAATACGATATCCCGCCAACCCATAATATGACGGTGTTTATTTAGAGAAACGTAGATAAGTCTCCGGAATACACCATCGGTTTTCTGAGAGCTCAAAACGAGAGACTGAATACAACGATGATACTGCCTTACATCTAAGCATTCGCATTGACGACGACTCGTCCAACAGTGGCAGGCGGAATGGCTTTGGGCTGAACTATAGATTTGGCAGTTAAACAATGAAACACCGGAAGCAAAAATCCTCGAAACACGGACATCTCCCGAATAAGAAAACAGTGCCGATCCCACCTGAGAGTAGCATCACTCCCAGCGAGAAGAGCAAGCAGCCAGTAGCCCTACCTTCATGTGTGGCAACAACACAAGAGTTGATGGAGGTACTAGATATGCGCAAGCTGGAGTTATGTAGATGACATGCAGGAGTGAAAGCGAACAAGGACGCTACGATATTGACGATCCAACGCAAAAATGATCAGTAAACCGACGAAACCGACGAATATTCGATGCCACTAAACAACCTATTGGATTTCCTTAGGAAGTTAAGACTGCACGAGATGTTGCAAGGAGCAAGAGAGGGCAATATATCTTGTGGTCGCTGTGCATACCTTAACAAATATCCATCTATATATAAGTACCATAAGCCATTATAATAACATGAAAAGAAGGAGCTTTATTATGTCATGATATTTCTTTATTTTTTAACTGTAAATAATTATATCGAACCCTAACCGCCAAAAAGACGTAGGAGAAATTTTTTCAAAATTTTATTTTTGATGCAAAAGTGCATCTAGATGCTCTAGGAATATTTCTATATTAAAAGAAAATTTTGAAGAAATTTCGGTGGCGACTTTTTGGAGATTAGAGCTCGATATGGATATTTTCATAATAATTGGTGGTAAAAAAATCAATCAAAATATGCGTTATTCCTTCAATTTCTGTACTCTATAAAGTTGTCTTGAGAATATTATGTTTAATATACATATACCCCTTTCGGGCTGAAATTCATCTACATATTTCCGATCAAGGAATTTTGATCTAAAAAGAAAAAAATTGCCAAAAGCAATAGCCTAATCCATCACAACTTTAACTAATTCAAGAATAGAATTGGGAAAAATAGCAATAAATAAATAAGAATAAAACATAAAATTAGCGAACGCATCAAGGCTTAATATTCAGAACACGTATTTGGTGGCATCTTGACAACCTGAATTAATGTAACGCTCATTGTCTATGTCATCAATAGAATTAGCTTTATTTATTGCAAAGGATATATGTATATATTCATTGATGTAAATGAGCGGTTATTTTCATTTTGATTGCTTTTCTTGTGAATTCATGGCGATTTTATTACCTAACACGCACTTCGAGGACACCACATAAATGTGGTGAAGTGTCACATATTTGTAAACATATATACACTAGGCGACAAATGAAAGTGTACGTCTTGTTTTAATATAATATTCAAAGTTATTTTAATGAAACTTTTTTTGCATTAACTATCTATGAAAATATAGTTCATTCTATAATATAAATCAAAGCTTCACACTTTATATAAAGTTCATAAAAAATTTCAACTTTTTATTCAGACTCTCAAGAAAATTGTGTAGCCTATTCACTTTTAGTGTAAGCAAGTTTCAAATGTTTAAAAAATCAGTTGCTTTTTGAGAATTTTTTTT